TTACTTAAAAAACGCGACATCTTTTGTATAATTTTAATTGATTTATTCTACAATTGAGTAAAATTTTAATGAACGGATACCACACATTTCGAATGTTAATTTATTAACAAAGATAAGATGTGGAGTACCAAAAATTTTTTTATTCTGTACACATTTGTACGGTGTACAATTTTGTATAACGTACAAATTTGTATAGTACTCTTTTTGTATATTTTTTTAGGTACACCGTACTCAACATCAATTTTTAGGGTGTACACCATTCATGTGATTGACCGGATTTCACACCTTTCCGTCTTACCTATGTTAAGACTGCAAATAATAGCGGAGCTAGTGCTAAAGCTCATATTGATGATCAATCAGCAAGAACGATAGTGTATAATGAAATAAAAAGTCTCCTTTTTGATATCACTGATGTAAACTTGCGTAAAATAATTTCCAGAGCAAAAAAAGTATATATATTATATGAAGGAATAGGAATTGATAAAATTAGTTAAATAACTTACAGCGCAAGTGCTATTTCAAGTTTAAAGGATATTCAAATTCAAAATATTATAAATGATTTTTTCAAGTTAACTGATATGAGTTGCCAGGTACAGAGTACCATTTCTTCTGAAATAAAAGTGATCGGCGTGACAAATTGTCACGTGCATATGTCTGATCTATCTAGTTTAACCGATTCATCAGCAGAGTTGGCACGGTCAAAATTATCAGAAATCGAGGTGAGTAAAGAAGCCTCACCAGAAACTGAAATAAGTGCACCTACTGAAATCAAGGTAAGTATATCTACTGAATCTCACGTTTCCAATTCACTTACGCCAACCAAATCCTGACCTTCAATCTCTATTTTACCTGAAGACCTGAAAGAGGAACAAAAACATGTTATCAAAATGGCATTGGAACGGTTTTCCGTCTTATCTTTGAAATACAGTAATAAACATGGTGATTATTTTGATTGTTCAGCAATATGTCCGGTGTGTAATAAAAACCATAAAAAATGTAATATAAGAGATAATGTAAAAGGTGAATGGGGTAGTGGCGATTATGTTAATACAAAAACTTATCGTCTCAATTGTTGGAAAAATTATCAGAATTCAATTTCAATAGTAACTGTGAAAGTATAATCAGAAATTAATACGTTATATTACGTATGCGATGACATCCACACTCAATTATTAACGAAACACAAAATAAAAAATTAGGTGCATTTATACTAATATGATTAAAATTTTATTTCATAGATTGTGACAGCTTGTCACAATGTCATGTGAGCTTACAATGGATTATTATTACAGAGTAGTGAGGTTTTGGCTCTATTTTTTAAAATCGGCATAAATTACCAAAAGTTTGGCTAATACAAAATCAATGTCATCTTGGGATATATTTGCTATTGTTGTAGTAGTAAAAGACTGAATTCGTTTGATTTTTTCAACCCCGATCTCATTAAAGATATCATAAATCTTCTGGGCCCTTTCCT